CTCTTATGAGGAATAAAACTGCATGATTAAAAAATAATTGATTGTGTTCGTCAACACAGTACGGACTAACACAAACTGTAGCTATAGAATAAATTATTAATCTACTTGCTACAGCTGCCGGAAAGAAAATGAATGACCAATGTTGTCGGTTAATTTATATATCCAACTGAACAATAGCCACTACGCAGCTATTGTTTACTTGATTTTCTGTAAATATATATATTTGGGTGTGGGTGTGGGTGTGTGGGTGGGTGTGGGTGTGGATGTGGGTGTGTGGGTGAGTGTGGGTGTGGGTGTGGGTGTGAGTGTGGGTGTGGGTTTATGCTTCTTCTTGTTTCTGCCCATCGATAGCTGCACCCACACCTACACCCACACCCACACCCGCCCACACCCACACACCCACACCCCACACCCACCCTTATCATTCGAATTTATTCATTAATCTTACATACAACAAAAATATCGAAAAAGAAACGGTTTCATAAAATTACGATAGTTGAATTGTTGCTGCAAGCATAAGATGATCTGATGGATGTGTTTCATCTGGATAAGATTCACCAAAAGGATGATCTGGTAATTCCAACACATTCTCTATAGTAAGATTACCATTAAAAAATATATAATCTAATGTATCACAATAGTCTGGACAGTTTGGTGTATGAGCAAAGTTTGTGTAAGTTGGTTCGATCCCATTTTTCTCTCGATAAGCACTTTTTAATACTTGTTCAGCATTACGTTGATAGGAAATTTCATATTTACTAGATTCCGGTAAACGACAATTAAGATAATTTTTTTCTGTTAAGGCTTTATAGCAAATATCTGCTGGATCGAAATTAAAGTCACCAGCAAGAATAAAATTTTGTCTACCTGCTAAATGAAACATTAGATCTTTCACAATTGAAGAATGAATCAACATAACATCAGGATCTTTGTAAAGGCAAGGCATGTGGTACGTCCCTATATGAATTGATTTATTGTTAATCGTAACTTTGATACAAATGAGAGCATTGATTCTACCCATAGCAGTTTCCCATGGATCTAATGTATCAAGAAGTATTTCTTGTGTATCAGATTCGTTTAAATTACATTCTGATGTTAAAGAATTTTCGTTTTTTTTACGAGGTTTACTGATCGAGTGTATATGATCTCCGATTCTTATAATATAAAGTGAATTAAGTTCCGTAGAAGCTGGAATGGCAATACCTGTGCCCATACAATCGTTATGACGTCCACCATACAAATGATGAAATAATGTATAATTTAACTGACGAAAAAATAATTCAAATTCTGGTAGCAATGTCAATGAGAGTTCTTGTAAACATATGATCGTATTTTCATGATTTTGAATTTCTTGTACTAATTGAGATCGAATCAGATTCCACCGATAATCAGTTTTAAGAAATTCAGGTTGACATTTAGAATAAATCTCTGGTTTATCAGAATAACTAGGTACTAAGATATTGTATGATACGACACGTACGGTCATACTTTCGTCGTAAAAGAAAATGTATCTTTTATTATAGAATGATTAGAAATAAGAGTGACATAGATTTGCAAATGCTATATATACAATAAAATGGGTAGAAGAAAAAACGGAAATGATGCACGAGAACGTGTGGTGGTATATGACGCACGTGTACTTTGCCTTCTAATTCTCAACAGAATGGTAATGAATTTCATCCATTCAGCGAAAAATGTTGAAAGAACAGCAAAACATTTGTACAATGACTCATAATAGCAATCGGAGAAAGTTTTGAGAGATTTATTCTTGCATTCATAAACTAAAGGAAGCAATAGTAAAATACTATGACGTACATATGCTTGCTTCATTAGCTTCGAAGACTGAAGTGCATACTCACAATAATTTAGGGTGTGGGTGAGGGGTGTGGGTGAGGGATGTGGGGTGTGGGTGTGGGTATGGGTGTGGGTGTGGGTGGGTGTGGATGTGGGGTGTGGGTGAGGGTGTGGGTGGGTGTGGGTGTGGGTGGGTGTGGATGTGGGGTGTGGGTGAGAGTGTTGGTGAGTGTGGGTGTGGGCGGGGTGTGGGCCACACCCACACCCACACACCCACACCCTCGATCGAAAAAATGTTTTAGAACATGAATTTCGGCCCACGAATTTTCAGCCGGTCCGAAATTCTTTTTGGACTTTCGGCCCGTGAGACCTCAATGACCCCTAACGTAGTGCTGAGCAGGACGACATAATGGTTAGAGGATGTGTTCTTTTTACATTAGCAGTGGCAATCACACATAATGTATTCACATCCCGGACCTTTGCATCAGCGCCTACACACCTTACACTTACGCCCACACCCTGATGTGTGATTAGCACTGCTGTTGTAGAAGAGATCCGTTCTCTACGCATTGTGCCGTTCTGCTCAGCACTATGTCATTCCGCTCAGCGCTATATCGTTCTGCTCAGCACCACAATATCCCGCAACTAATTAAGCAAATCGGTGTTTTTTTATTTTAGGAGTCAATGAGGTCGCGAGCCGAAATTCCCATAGGACTTTCGGCTCGGCCCGAAAATTTACCGGAAGTTCGGACTGGGCTGAAGATTTCGACCTTCCGTAAGGGTGCGATTGCATGTGAGTCTCTATAGGTGAATACGAGAAGATCCACATCCACACCTTCAAGTTCATATAAATTCGAATAATTTGTAGCACAAAATAGATGTTCTATAAATGATGATTCGAAATGAAACCATTTGATTTGATGATGAATTTCAACTAAAATTTGTAAACAAAATCGGTGAAATATTGAGTCAGCTAAGGAATAGATGGAATCATTTGAGAAACATCACATCAGTGTTAAATGACATGTAAAAATTGGATCTCGTGTAATTGTGTTGAGTCATTTATTAACACCTACCTATTAAAGAATAGAGTAATTCGACATTGTACAATTTTTTTATAAATAATCATAAGAATTTCATCTGATAAATCATTTAATTCAACCAATAAACGAAAACATTCAAGAGGAGAAGAAAATAATTTTGTTAGAGGAGAATCTGAATAATAGTTCTTTCGAAGATGATAATCATCAAGAACATAATAGTTGTGATGATTGAATTATAATTTAGTGAACAATCAATGAACTTGTCGAATTTTTGTTGATAAATATTTGATATTTTTCTTTTAACTAATAAGCGATGCTGAAGTCTTCGAAGAATGTTAAAACCGATTTCTCAACAATATAACATCGAATTGATTTCGATATTATTGATTTGAAAGAGCAAAGTTTGGAGAGTATTTACATAAAAAACGATTACGGTGATTCAAAAGCTTCGATCCTTCTCTGAAAATTCACGTTACATATATGAATACATATAGAGATAGTTGACTGAAATATAGTTTTCTAGAGAAAGATTAAAACCATCATCTGAAAAGAAAATAGTTCGAATTGCATCGTGTTCATAAAAAGTTATAGCTACTTTATTGATCATGACTAAACATTTTACATCATATATTTTTTGCAAAAAACAAAATATACCTGTAACGTTTGAAGTGAAATATTGTTTTCTAGATATTCTTACATGGTTTGATAGAGTTCCAAGCGAGAGACATTATGATAGCAGAGGTGCGATGATAATAGTTCAAAAATCTTGCTGTCATAAGTCGAAAATTCTAATTATTAGTGTTTATTCTTAAGAATCACAATTACATCTATGGTATATATTGTCAATAGGAATTTACGATTCATTATAGAACAATTTGTAGTCCAATCTCACATTTACTGATGAATAGCAATAATTCGAGAAGTCACCATCATGAAGAGAAGTATGACAAAAATTCGACCAATGTTATACAATTGTGTGGCGCTATTTGTCTTTGTATCCGCTACTTGTATGACTACATTGGCGATGCCACACATATTCTTATCACGTACAAGACGAATGTAACCATTTTCGCCCCAATTTTCACCTAGATTTGCAAAGAACAATCAAGATAAATTCTCTGTTAATCATTACTGACCCCAACTATTTTTGCATATCCAATAAGGTTTACCTTGATCGACACCATAGCCAACAATTTGTAACTAAAAATGAACTGATGTATCAAATATAAGAATAGGCCATATCTCTTGTTTTTTTACCAAATGATCACGTTTGGTTTGTGAACATGCTGGTTCATCATAGACACCTGAAGAGCAATAAATAAGTTTCAATGAATTCATCAACGACATACACATACCTTTGTCGTACCCTTGAAAGCCTGGACCTGTAGCGTCTACTTCGGCCCAGAGGGTAGAGTCTTGAATCCAAGATAACATCGTATTTTCGTCTCCTTGAGTAAGTCGGTTGATTTTGTCAAACTATAATTTTTTTTACGAACTAGAACACTAGTATTGCCTTGAATCTTTTACATGTGGAAAGAACAAGTAATAAAATAACCATAGAAATGAAGTAATAACATTTCTAATATATTCATGTGGGGTCAGATTCATCCGATCTCCTACTTTTGTTTCAGGATAGTTTGGTTACTCATATGACTATGTGTCGCGGAAGGGAAATGAACGACATGAGAACTTCTGCTTTTTTTCCCTTTCATGACAATATTGATTAGACAAAATCAGTATCTATCTCACGATATTGGAGTAGTATGAAAACGTAAGAAGTGAATATATAGAACTGATTTTTGAAACAAAACATGTATTTCTGGCACATATTATTAATAAAATACCAAATTCTCTTTGAGTCAATGTAGAACCATTGCAGACATTTTGTCTATGATAATTATTATTTGAACTTTTCATGTCAGAAGGTTTACAAAAGAAAGATGTACGTTGTTCTTCATTTTACTTTTCTTGTCGAATAATAAAAGCTCCATGGTTCATTATGTATACTAGTATTTGTAATTCGCCCAGGTATCGTGACAATTTCGAAACATATCTAACTCATTAGTAGATCTCTTCATCACGGCATATTACACAACAAGTCTTAATGATCTCTATTGTCTTTAAGTCAACAATATTTTTGTTTGAAAAAAAAAATCAGCACTCTTTTACATTTTTTTCAAAATTATCTATTTGTAGGTTCAGTATTTTGAAGATGGAAGAATGGAATGAGATATTCTTTTCAGCAGTCAATATATCATGAAGTTTACTACAAAAAGTGTCTTTTTTTTAAAGTTTTCAAATTCCATGTGTTGTTTAGTTTTTGTAACCCATCCACAGATGGTCAATCCAGTAACCTACGGGGCACCGAAATATTGAGCTTTTTCCTCTTCTAAAGCATAAATATGCGTCTAAATGGCTGCATACGTACACTAGTAAATGGTTTGCACTTGTTCGGTTCGCATTTTCCAAGAGTTTCTGGATAGTCATTCTGGCGGCAAATACCACTCAAGTTTTTAATACAGTCAAAAGGATCTATTAGTTGTGGACAACAGTCAAAAACTCGTGCGACACTGCCTTCAATCAGATTGTTGGTGCGAATGGCATGAAGAGTTTCCACGAGTTCTATTGGATATTCGTGAAATCATATATTGCATTGGCTATCCCTTTACTGACACTTACCGGTACTCACAATGGCTGGTTCGATGTCTCCACTGAGACCTTGATTACGTACGGGTGCAATAACACCTTTTGTGCGCCAATCGAGCGATTCTGGTAAGTTCTTCACGTCAATGAAACTTTTGAATAATGCTGGATGAGACTCAAAATGAATCTTCAGTACAGATACAATTTCCTATAGTATGCCTAGTCTTTCATCGATCGTATCAGTTATTGAAGTTTACCTCAATGTGTCGGTCGGTTAAATGATTGATTGTCATTGTGAATGTTGCGTCGGGATGAGTGCGCTGATAATCACGCATTCGATTAACATTTTCAATGAAGATTTGTTTACGTTCAGCTTCTTCAACAGATGATGCATACTGTTTGTTATAGTTACGTTTGAATTGATCCCATTGCAATGAGAGATCACTTGTAGCCACACGAAAGAGAATGAATAGAAGAATGAACTAGTCGAAAAAAAGTGAAAAGTTTGTGCTGATTGTGATGTTGATAGAACATAGCAACTTACCTTCATCTTTTTAAGCTCGTAAAATAGAGCATGTGTGTGTGTCGAGAGATAACGATATTTAAGCAAAAAACGAGGAAAATGCATGTTGATAAATGATGCAGCAGTGGTGTTTTTTATCTCGAACTTGCACTGCATAATAGTTTTTCTTATCGTTTTCGCATGCACAAAATAAAAAATTACGCTATATAATTTTTCGATACAAATCTGATTAACTTTGTGTTTGATGAAATTTTTATTTCTAAGTATGTGATCTTCTATTAGACAATTAGCAATATTTAAAAAAATCATCAGCAATAAAAAAAAACCGGTTCATAATTGTTCTTTTCTTTCGGAGACAGGTGTGAGTGTAGGTCTTTCATTAATCACAGCCACACTCTCACACCCAGACTGTTCTATTTAATCAAAACTGATTATAAAATACTTATCATATTTATCGACTTGCTTTCATATCGAGTTATATTA